GCATCGTTACTTCAGAAAACAGTTCAACTCTTGTTTTAAACTAATATGCTAAGTAGACATTATGCAGCTGTAAAAATTTTGATTAAAAAAAGTTTAAGCATTTTGGTTTTACATCTGTGTTATGCTCCAGACTGCATAACTTTAAACATCAAAGCTACAAATTAGTTTCAAAGAACTCTTTTGATGTTATATCCACAGTATATCAGCAGAGCTTAAAGCAATTTTTCTACTAAAAAGTTTAGTAAAGTCAATTTAAACCACTTGCAAAAAACATAAAAAACATTTAAAATTTCAAAAGTGCATAACATGCATTAACGTGCTTCTCATTCTACTATATCCAAGGTCATGTCAGCAATTCTATTATAGACTTCTCTTTTCAGGTGTTTATAAAAATTGGTCCTAAAACAGAAAATTATTGAGCTGAAATCAATCAGTGTATATGCGCAGGTGAAATAGGGTTCTCCAAGTAGCTGGAAGTAAATTTTTCAGCCCTATCTGGTTTTCACACTATTCTAAGATGTAACCTAGTGTAGAGATAGGTTAACTTCAGCTAATCTACCTTTGGGACTCCCCAATATTGAAAGAGTATTTAAGCAGCCTGTCAATTCAGCAGATGCTCTTTACTGGTAGACTGACATAAAAGTATCAAAACAAAGGACAGGATTCTGACTCAATGTCTCTGTTAAAAAAAAAACAACCCAACATATTATTTTTCATAAGTGATCAAACTTCACTCATGCCAAATAAAAATATGTAACACAGATAAAATGCATACCACCATGAGATGGGGAGGTGGGGAGAGATCCTTTGGCAGGCATTTTCTTCCTTTAAACATTGATGAAAAATTCGCTAACAAGATAATTATACCTAAACATATTATTCAATATTTTAAGAATATTAGCCTTCCAAAGTAACTGACAAACAACAATGAATATTCCTGATTTATTAATGCAACATGCAAGAATCCCGTTGTTTTCCAGGAAGCAATATACCATTTGTTCCACTGGCAATTATTCTTTTCACAGTGAAATCTGATTAAGGACATTTTTAGCTCCATGTGGAAAATTGATGTATTTTAATAATAATGTTGAATTATCTTGATGAGAGTGTAAGATTTTCCTGAAACCTAAACTCTACATTGTAGAATCTGGGACCAATTGTGTCTAGTTCAGCACAGGAATGCTGGGAAATTTTCACTTTTGTCAACTGCATTGGACATAAAGGGCACTTTTACATGTGCTCCAGGGGAAGAGGGGGGGCACTTTAATTAGAGTGGCTCTGAGAACCACTTTAACTGGCTCTAATTAAAGCACCACTGCGTCTCATGAATTAGCATCCCCATACTTAAAAATGGTGGTGGTATAGCAAAGAAACCTTTTTCTTGCCTGCTTCCCCTCTCCAATGTGAAGCCCCTTTTGCAGTATTTGCCCCCTTTTGGGGATGCTTTCTCTTTTCTACCGTTTCATCCTTCCTCCCGGTACAGAAGCTCCGGTTTGAACTAAACAACACCGAAGACCGACTCTTGGGACTGAACACCCCCCCCCCACAATCAACTGCTCCCCAAAGCCCTATTCATCATAGCAGTGAATTAATCAAACTTCATCAATGGACTCCCGAGACTGCACATACCTGCAGACATGACCCCTGGGGCTGACAGCTGCCATCCAGCAACCACCCAGGGGGACGTCCCACAAGATCAATGACCCCTGGATTGGGTAAGCCTGAAAATTGGGGAGTCACCAAAGTCTGCCAGAGAGGGATAAAAGGCAGTGAACAATGAACCACAATGGCACCCTCTCTGACCTGACCAGCACTCCGCCTGCCCAGCCAGAAGGACGAGCCGGCAACCCCCTTCTGAAGCAACATCTCACTGAAAGAAGCCTCGACTGGCCATCGACAGAAAGCTCCAGTGCTTGGAGATAGGTATATCTTGACACCGGTGCTTAGTGTTCATAGCTAGCTACTGTGTGTGTGTGCATGGGTGTGTGAATGTGTGTGTGTTTGAGAGGATCAGCCCCAAAGTTTATGATATGACTTGGTCCTTTGTAGCCAACAGTGGGGGCATTTGAACTAAAGCTCGTTCAACCCCACACCATTTTTAAATGCAGGGATGCAGATACACATGAAAGAGGCTGCTAGAGTGCAGTAATTACCATGCTCTAGCAGACTCGATTAATTGAGTCTGCTCCAATGCACAGGAATTCCAGCATGTCAGAGCAGCCTCCATGCTCATGTATGGGAGCCCAAAAAGGTAAATGTGATTTTTAGCAATGAAAGACCTTCTTTATTTCTATAAAAACAGTTTTGCTTCTGCACTCTGTTGAAGCAGTCCAAACATCTGAAGGTTCTCCATTTTATTCCCTAATACAGCTTCTATCCTTTTAAGCAAAATAATGACATGCAGTCTATAAGATATTACTGTACAGGGAATACACAGCTTGTGGGAAACAATCGCTATCAGCATCATTGTGGAAGGATGCATCAAATGGTGTTCTGCAGGAGTCTCTCTTCCTCTCACCCCTGCCCCACACAACCCTACACACATTTGATGTATCCTTCTACATCAGGACTACAACACTGACAGTGACTGTTTCCCACAAGTTGTGTACTCCCTGTACAGTAATTTCCTATAGAATGCATGCCATTATATATAGTTAATAACAACTTCAGGTACGACAATGGACTAGATATCTTTTCTTTATTATCTAGGATCTCCTTTATTGTACTGAAACAAAATACCTCTGAGCCATGAAATATGAAACTAAGTCTCAGGGATAAAAGAAGATACTTTTCTTTGTTTCTAACCGAGAAAAGTATGCTACCATATTTAAGCATATGCAATACGAAGTAAAAAGAAAAAAATAACAACATTGGATAAGATTTGAACAGAGACCTTTAGCAGACAGTTGCTGTGGCTTTGGCTCCAGCACTGACCAAGGTAGACCAAGGGTGGGGGAGGAGCACGGTCCACTGTGGAGAGAGTGTCAGGTAGCCACTGTACCAACCTGAGGCCAGGACCAAGGCTGGTAAACTGTGGCAGATGTAGGAGGGGGAAGGGGCCAGAGAACATGCAATGAGAGAAGGGAAGTGGCTGGGGAAGGTGAGGGGAGAGGTGGCAAGGGGCAAGCACCATGGCAGGGGAAAGGGCAAATGGAGTAGGGGCAGGCTTCAGGGTGGCTGCCAGCCTCCCTGCTACAGCTTTCTCTACTGCTTGCCCCACTGCCATTGCTTTCCCCGCTGCAGTGATGGGGATGGAATTGGAAAGGCCTTCCAATAATTAAGAGTTCATACATGGAGCATTATAACAACATTTGTTATTTTCCATGTATAGGATATAATTATTGGGGGTTGTCTTAAAACCAAAGTCATCTTGGACTTGGGTAAATATGGCATTGTATAAGAGGTAATATTAATGACATCTGAACATTAAATACAACTTCACAATTCCAAAAGAATACTGCACTATATGTAGAAATTGCACAGATTTCATCAAAAAGCCTGTGACCTAGAAGGTTTAATAATCCATTCTTTAAGAGGATGCTGAGGAATAATAGTTAACATAAACTAGAGTTTATCAAAGTGTTTTGTATCCGTAGTAGTAGTAGCAGCAGCATGAACGATTTCCTTTCATTGCTGCTGTACTTATACAGGAGCTCAGGAATTAGCATACCAGATCCAAAAAATGCCCTATTTATTCCAGTACCCTTGTCTCAGAGTGGCTAGAATGAAATGCTTCAACAAGAATATGTAAGACTGTAGTTCAGAGTTCCTTATATAATAGCCTCCCTATAAGGAAGCGTTCTCCAGGTGTCTATGCTGAAGGCTGGCTTATAAAAAAAATGCTCTGCTTATTCACAGACACGTCTATTTCTTTTTTAAAATTCTTGCCAGTGGGTTCTGTAGATCAACTATGCACCTGGCAAAGCAATATTTCTTTTTCATCCATTTTAATTGTGTAGCTGATTGATTTTATTGATGGCCCTCTTGTATATCAAAACGGATAAACAGAAATTCAATTTTAACCTCTGTATACTTCTATCATGTTCCTTATTCACAATTCCTCTAAATGGATTATTTCCAATTTTCAAACTTTTTTTTGCAGAGAAGCCTTTGCCACGGCTTTAATCATATTTGTTGCCTTTCTATGAATTCTTCCCTTCCCTTCTAAAAAATAAGACATCTGTATTTTTGTGCGATCTTCATTTTCCATCCCCCTTCAGTCTGCCATAGTACTTCAAAAATACTAGTGGAAATAAGGCAAACAAAGTGCTTGTGGAACTTACATATACAGTATATTTCCAGCAACACTACATTCTTGTCTCTTTCTGTTTTCTATTCTTCAGTTACTACTCAGACTGAGCTTTCATCTAGGAAAGTCCCAATAAAAAAGAACTCCTGCTGAGAGTCTAGAATTTTGGGGTATAGAATTATATTGCTCTCAGATTCTTAAAAAACAACATTCATGTAATTATGCAATCCAAGTTTGATAAGCCTTCCCCATCATCTAAACCAGGATGTCAAACTTGCATGTGCTTCCAGGTCTCTTCACAAACCAGATCTGGACCCAGTGGGGTGAGCATTAGTGCAGAGATGAAAGCAGCCATCACTTGCCCCCTCCTCCCCTCAATACACATTCCCTGAAGGATTTTGTAGCTTGGAATTCAGAGGATCCTCTAGGAGGATCCCCCACCCAGAATTCTTGGATCCTCTAGGAGGCCCAAGGCTCATATCTTTGACACATGATCTAATCTGATGCAGCAAAGAAGGAAAGATTGCTAAAGAAAAATATGCAATGTGTGTTTCTTTTTCATTGTAACTTTCATTGCAATTAGAAGCAGCTGCTTAATCATTAAAAAATATAAGAAAACTTCCTTTTGGATAATTCTCTCTGAAATCTGTTCTTGACTATATGAAAATGCCTCTAAAGATAGTGTAGGTTGTAGCCGTGTTGGTCTACGGACACAGGCATAGACATAGGCTCTAAAGATAGTTGTTCTTACCTGACGTAAGGTGCGTGCCACTATACTTTCTAGCACTGGTCCTCTGTCTTCATGCAGCAGATGCACTTCATCAAGAATCAGGAGCTTTACAAGTTGAGAGAGGGCTACGTCCCCGACACTCTTCCTTGTCACTACATCCCATTTCTCTGGTGTGGTAACAAGCATCTAGTAGGCAGGAAAAAGAATATTAAGTATCCACAAAGAAAAACAATTCATACAAACTCAATCATAGATGCAACTTTTTTAAATCAAACCAATCGAACTCTCTGGGCAAAACTTTCAAAAGCATCTACCAATGCAAAAGCTTAAATCCTATTTAAGGTTTTCTGTGACAAATAAAATCACATATTTTAAAACTTTCATCATGCCATAGCTAACAGGGCAAAATGTGCCTTACGCTCCACTTCTTCCAGGTCTAGATCATCCACCCTTCTAAGTTTTCACTTATATCCTCACTGCCTTCTTCCAATGGGTGCTTGTAAGAAGTATTTATTAAAAAGAGACAGGCTGAATTTGCACCTTTATAGACTAATCAAGCTCTCTGCTTATGAAAGCTTATGTTACACAGGTATGATTTAGCAAGCCTATAAAGGTGCAAATCTACCCTGCGTTCTGCCTGACTTTGGAATAACATTGCTTACTACAGCCTCCTCTACACATTACAGGGATTGCACAATTAACTTGCTAATTGTGCAATTACCTGGAGACAAGCTACACACCCAAATTAGCTATCACACAATAAAAAGCTCCAATCAGCTATAAAGTTAGACCTCAAAAATTTGTACTAACTTTATAGCTGATTGCTATAAAGCTTTAATTTGCATGTGTAGCGGGGTCTCTCATGTGACAGGGTGTCCTGTCAGCTGGTGGGGCTCCCAGCCAAAGAGATGCACCATGTCCAGCGTTAAACCCCCAAAACCTAGGGATCGCAGCAGCCATGATTCCCAGGGCTCAGGTGTTTCCCAGATCCCTGAACCCTAGGAATCAGGTCAGCTGCAATCCCTAGGACTCCAGAGTGTGGGAAATCCCAAGGGCCTGGGATCCTCTGGCCCCATGGGTTTCCCACACCTCTGGGGCAGGGGGATCACTTTGCAATGATTCTCTGGCCCTGGGGGTGCATGGGACACCTCAGCAGCTGGGAGTCCCTCAACTGGGGTGTGTGGGGCTCCCAGCTGTGGGAGCTTGCTTCTTGCTGGTGCAGGGGGAGGCATGATGGCAATAAGGCACAATGAAATGTAATGCACAGTCCCACAATCCTGCCTCCTGCCATGCACAAGTGGCATGGCAGGAGGTGTGGTTGTGTAAATTGTGCATTAGAAACCATCATGCCCTTACCAGCATGTATACAGGGAGCCTATTTATAAAAGCCCTTGAGAATTGTGTCTAATCCACTGGAATGCCATGGTAACTTTCATGGCTGTGATTTAACGGGAGTCATTTATTGTATATTTACACCCTTATAATAGAAGTGATAAATCACTGCCTTGGACATGATAAGCCTGAAATTTCCAGGCTTCTTCTCCCTTTAGATCCACTGGGGAAAAAGAAAAAGAAAAACAAACAAACAAAGAAAAAAGACTTATAAACTAATAAAACAAAGCTTACAGTAATACCTTCACAATTGAAAAGTAACTTGAAAAGAAAACAAAGAATAATTATACTTCAGGCCAGGATACTTCACCAAGGTTGCTATACAAGTGGTAAGAAACCAGGAAAAATTTATTCACAGAATTTAAAGAACAAAGCTAAGAATGCTCTTATTGCCAATGAATAATGGGTGATGATTATTTGATTAATTTAACAGCATTAACTAAGAGAGCACAGTCTGTGGCAAATTAATAGTTTTACATACTTGCCAGAAAAAGCGTTAAACCCCCAAAACCTAGGGATCGCAGCAGCCATGATTCCCAGGGCTCAGGTGTTTCCCAGATCCCTGAACCCTAGGAATCAGGTCAGCTGCAATCCCTAGGACTCCAGAGTGTGGGAAATCCCAAGGGCCTGGGATCCTCTGGCCCCATGGGTTTCCCACACCTCTGGGGCAGGGGGATCACTTTGCAATGATTCTCTGGCCCTGGGGGTGCATGGGACACCTCAGCAGCTGGGAGTCCCTCAACTGGGGTGTGTGGGGCTCCCAGCTGTGGGAGCTTGCTTCTTGCTGGTGCAGGGGGAGGCATGATGGCAATAAGGCACAATGAAATGTAATGCACAGTCCCACAATCCTGCCTCCTGCCATGCACAAGTGGCATGGCAGGAGGTGTGGTTGTGTAAATTGTGCATTAGAAACCATCATGCCCTTACCAGCATGTATACAGGGAGCCTATTTATAAAAGCCCTTGAGAATTGTGTCTAATCCACTGGAATGCCATGGTAACTTTCATGGCTGTGATTTAACGGGAGTCATTTATTGTATATTTACACCCTTATAATAGAAGTGATAAATCACTGCCTTGGACATGATAAGCCTGAAATTTCCAGGCTTCTTCTCCCTTTAGATCCACTGGGGAAAAAGAAAAAGAAAAACAAACAAACAAAGAAAAAAGACTTATAAACTAATAAAACAAAGCTTACAGTAATACCTTCACAATTGAAAAGTAACTTGAAAAGAAAACAAAGAATAATTATACTTCAGGCCAGGATACTTCACCAAGGTTGCTATACAAGTGGTAAGAAACCAGGAAAAATTTATTCACAGAATTTAAAGAACAAAGCTAAGAATGCTCTTATTGCCAATGAATAATGGGTGATGATTATTTGATTAATTTAACAGCATTAACTAAGAGAGCACAGTCTGTGGCAAATTAATAGTTTTACATACTTGCCAGAAAATTGAAAGAAGTGATTGTTTTATATACGCTGTCCGCATAAACAACATGCCTCCCCCGCTCTTGAAGCCCACATATACCCACTTTGCCCCCAAAAGTGTTTGCGCCTCAGGTGCCAACTCTGCTTGTTAAGCCACTGTCCTTTAATGTATAAGAGTGGTTTCCTAACTGAATTATATATACACCCCTGGGGATATGCTTCTACATTTTAAAAATGGTGTTTGAGCTTCTGATTGGTCACTGTGTGTTGCCAAGTGTTGACATCAGTGTCAACACATTTCCTAAGGAATAAACATGCAGAGATGCATCAGCTGTAGAAGGTACAAGCAGCTATATTTTGCAGATAAGGCCAAAAAAAATTTTGAGGCATAAGGCCAAAAAAGTTTGAAAACCATTGATGTATAATATTGAAATAGTTGGAAACTACTTTTACTCACAACTGATGAGAGCTAGATCTAGTCAATTATCTAGAAATATATTACCCATGTCCCTTTCCAGTCTCAATCCAGCAAACAAGATTTACAAGAGTCTGCCATAAAAGTGGAAATTTTAAGCATGAACATATCATATAATTGTGATAATGAAGGATTAGAAGAATCAATACTTCACACTGAAAAATTAGAACTGAGTCGAAGGTCTGGCAAGAAAACCTTATGCTATTTCCTCTTAATTTCTTATGAACTTTTACAGTAAATGTACTTTTTATTGGACACAGTTTTTGAATCTCTCTCTTTTTTTTTTTTTAGGACTTCAGAACTAAAAAATCTTAAAGGAAAAAATATCAATCATCTCTGCAGATTACAATGCCTACAGAGCTAATGTAAGGATACTAAAATTTTCTAGAGGAGCTCAAACAGCATCTGTTTGAATCTTAGAACCCCTCTCTAAATGCAGGTAAAGGCACAATTGGATCTAATGAATGATCCACACAATTGCACAGGAGACACGATTGCAAGACTGAGCATTAGATCCAATCATGTCTTTTTGCTGATGCAGAGGAAGCCTGATACTGGGTGCCTCTACACCAGCAAGAAGCAGGTTCCCACAGCTAGGAGTCCCCTTTGCCAATGAAGCTAGAAGCCCCAGGGACCACGTGCAGCCAGGACTGAGAGTACCTGCTCTTGGCCCAGGCTCTGCCACATGCACAGCTAGGACCAAGAATTCCCTGCATCTGACAGGGTTCTTGGTCCCATCAGGTATGGGTATTCACATTCCCAGCTGTGTGTGGGATCCAACCAGGACCAAGAGTCCCATCAGTTGTGAGACATGGCTGCAGTGTCCCAGCCACAGGAGTATGTGGAGCATCCTGCGACGGGGAGATTGCAGCGTCTGAGATCTCCCAGCCACTATCTAAAGTGCCCCCACACCTCTGTGGCTGGGAGCTAGCCAGAAGGTGCATTGTGCTCCCCAGTGACTGAATGATTGCAGCAGCTGCAATGTCCCAGCCACAGGACTGCCTACACATGCAACTTAAAGCTGGATAGAAACCTGCTATAAAGTTATTACACATTTTTGAGCAATAACTTTATAGCTGTTTGGAACTTTTTAAGGTACAATACTTAATTTACATGTGTAGGCAGTCTATATGTATTGCACAATTAACAAGGTAATTGCTCAATAGATAAAACATGTAGAGGGAGCCTTAGTGAAATGTGTTGCAACTCCAAAAACAGATTTAGTGAGAATAAATCAGTTTTTTCAAGGTTTTTCCCAACTTCAGTCTATGCTTCCAAATATATAACACTTGAAGAGGATATGCATAGAATCAAAGAAAATTAAGGTTGAAAGGTACTTCAGGAGGTCATCTAATCCAGCCCCCAGCTCAAAGCAGGCCCATCCCCAACTAGATCATTTCAGCCAAGGCTTTGTCTAGCCAGGTCTTAAAAATCTCCAAGGATGGAGAGTCCACAACCTGTAACCTGTTCCAGTGTTTTACTACCCTCCTAGTGAGAAAAGTATTTCTAATATCTAATCTAAACTTCCTTTGCTGCAACTTGAGCCATTGCTCCTTGTTCTGTCATTTGTCACCACTGAGAACAGTCTACCTTCATCCTCTTTTGAATCCTGCTTCAGGGAGTTGGAGGTTGCTGTTAAATCCCCCCTTACTCTTCTGTTTTCCAGACTAAATAAGCTCAGTTCGCTCAGTCTCGCCTCAAAAGTCATGTGCCCCAGCCCCTGAACCATTTCCGTTGCCCTCTCCTGGACTCTATCCAATATGTCTACATCCTTTCTGTAGTGGGGAGCCCAAAACTGAACATAGTACTCCAGATGTGGCATCACCAGTGCTGAATAGAGGGGAATAATCAATTCCTTTGACCTGTTGGCAACACTCCTACCAATGCA